CTGGGACATGATGCATTCCTTCACCCACTTGCCCTATTTCAAGCCTACAAGTAGCCACATTGATGTGGAAAGAGTTAGCTATTTGAAATTTCGTAAGAATGGATAATCATTTATCAATGCTGAAGTCTCAGTCAGCAAAAGCTGCAAAGTTTAGATCACCAATATTACACACTGAATTTAGCTAAGGACAAGCACATAATTTTATTAGTTTATGATTGAGCGTTCATGGAAAATTCTTCCTCTAACACCTGAAAGAAATCCAAAAAGAAAATTCCGTACTCAAAACACTTTAGCATGAGGATAACTAAAATGTGTTGATACTATTTGGACATAGTTAATCTCTCATCAGGATGAATTAGCAACAAAATGATGCATGAAACTCATCTAACAAAAGTTGGCATAACCAATCTGGAAAAGAAAAATATGTCAAAGCAAAAAGGCTAAAACAAGATTACCCCTGCTTTTGGCTCCGAGCCTTGCTGAGAGCCTGAAACCAGTAAATCTCTTATCTGTTCATTGTATGCTTTTAAGACAGTGACTAATATATCATATTGATATAACTTCTGCCGCTCATTAATCATGTGAAACAATTCCACAAGAGTCCTAAAATCTACTCCACGGGCTTCTTTTGTACCCTCCATTGTAAAAGGTTTTCCTGTCCCTGTCTGTCCATAAGCAAAAATGCAGACATTGTAGCCATCTAGAACTGAGGTAGCAAATGGAGCTGTGTCTTGGAAAACATCAGCTAAACAAAACAAGCAACAGAAGTAAATTATTAAAAATATTCACTGAAAGGAGAATCAGAAATATTTTGCAGTGAGCCCAAAACAGCTACTAGAAATGGCATTACCTTGGTCTGCTTGAGGGCCAAAAAACAGCATCAAACTTAAAGATTTCCTAGGAGCACCATTTGATAGTACAGTGAGTTCACCATATTTCGCAGATTCAAAATCAACAGCCATTGTAGCACCTGCTGCTATTCTTCAGAATTTAGACGCCTACACCGGCAAAAGACTCATGTTTCCTGCAAGAAATGAAAATTTTGGGTCTCAATATATTCAACCTATTTCAGATTTTAATATGGAATATCGAATGTGGCTAACCTTTCAATTCTAGAACCTTGTTGTCGAGTTCTTTCCTTTCTTTGGCCCCTCTGAGAAATTTAATCTGGAGATCTTCACGCAAATCTGCTTGCCGGTTTACTTTTGGAAATATGTTAATAGGATTATAAAAGAGACAAAGAAAATGGATTCATGAGGTGATTAAAAAATATAAAGTATGATTAACTGCACAGGCTAAGTGCTAACTTACTTCTGGACAGAATTGCAGAGCCAATTTCGTTGATATCCTTGAAGCAATTCTTACACGTGGATACCTCCTCTGATAGCTTGATGTGTTCCATTTTCACTATCT